ACTTTAATTCTAAACTCGACATTGTTTGGTAAATACGTTTAACTCTAAACTCAACATTGTTTGATAACATAAGTTTAACTCTAAACTCAACATGTTTGGTATATAAGTATGAGTCTGAACTCAACATGTTTGGTATATAAATTTAACTCTAAACTCAACATTGTTTGGTACATAAGTATGAGTCTGAACTCAACATGTTTGGTATATAAATTTAACTCTAAACTCAACATTGTTTGGTATATAAGTATGAGTCTAAACTCAACATTGTTTGGTACATAAGTATGAGTCTAAACTCAACATTGTTTGGTACATAACTTTAATTCTAAACTCAACATGTTTGGTACATAAGTTTAACTCTAAACTCAACATGTTTGGTACATAAATTCAACTCTAAACTCAACATGTTTGGTACATAAGTTGGGCGATTCGGCCAAATACATATATTTACTTGATTTGCTTTCGTTTGTTTTGAATTTCGCGCAAATCTACAAGAGGGCTATCTGCGCTAGCCGTCCATAATTTAGCAGTGTTAAACTAGAGGGAAGGCAGCTAATCAACACTACCCTTCGCCAACTTTTGGGCTACTCTTTTACCAACGAATAGTAGGACTGACCATGACAAATTTGAAAATCAACGTTGTTGGGTACGTATAGTGAGGATCAGACCAACAGCGTGATTTGCCTTCGGATTTATGTACCATGAGAAATATATATGTGTGTCTGTGTGTTAATTTGGAACTTTTTATTATTGATATAATTCCCTACTAAACTCGGGCGTGTAACTATCCCCCCCCCCTCTCTAAATCCCATCACAGCCCACTTCGGAGTCTCTCTCTTAATACGACATTCAAGTCCCTCGGAAACCTTCTCTGGTCCGGTTCAGCACCTCCGCGAGCCGGCAGCCATGCACAACGTTCCCGCTACGGCTCGCTGCTTGCCTGTCAACGACCAACTAACTCGCGGGGTGAAAGACACCCGTTTTCAGGTTCTTCTACTTAGTTACCGTACTTTATTCGACATACTGAAAAAGTAGTCACCAAAATCTGGATTTTATCATCGGAGTTGAAAGGCTTTACGCGTTCTAATGTTCTGGGTTCTTCATGAATAGCTCGTAGCCGGCTTGATAAAACAGTTGCGTCTTAAAAACCTGTCTGAATAAGTGACACACCCATCTTCCGTAACTGTTGCTAGATTATAATACTAGATTAAGAATTTCTCTTCGCGAAAACAATTAAATGTTTACTTGAAACAATGCCATACTAACATTCTATGCCGCAATGGGCATTGTTTCGAGGAGAAAATACTAACATTCTATGACATTGTTTCAAGGAGGAATATTGCGGCATAGAATGTTGGTACGAGATTGTTTAAAGGAGGAACACTGTAACATAGAATGTTGGTACGGCATTGTTTAAAGGAGGAACATTGTAACATAGAATGTTGGTACGGCATTGTTTAAAGGAGGAACACTGTGATATAGAATGTTAGTATGACATTGTTTCAAGGAGGAATATTGCGGCATAGAATGTTAGTATATCACAGTGTTCCTCCTTTAAACAATGCCGTACCAACATTTTATGTTAGAATGTTCCTCCTTTAAACAATGCCGTACCAACATTCTATGTCACAGTGTTCCTTCTTTAAACAATGCCGTACCAACATTCTATGTTACAGTGTTCCTCCTTTAAACAATGCCGTACCAACATTCTATGTCACAATGCTGATCTAAATCACTGTATTTTGTCGCTTTTAAGAGTATTTTATGCCAAGATTCATACAAAGCTAAGAAATTTAAAAATAAATATCATTTGAAGAAAATACTTTAATGTCTACACACAGTTATATATATATATATGTTGTATAACGAAGTTTGGAATAATTGTTGAAATAAATGTTAAAGCATGACGAAATATTATATAAACACTTGAAAAAACACACATTTACCGTTGGTTTCAATGTATAAGAACAAATATTTTTGACTTAGAAATGAGTCGGGCGTGGCTTATGCTTAAGCGTGCCTGAAATGTAAATCCAAGTTTTCTTTCCTCGCGTGCTGTTGGATCAAAAACGCGCCTCGTACTATGTGGCCGTGGGTTTGGTATAAGTGTGAGATCAAATCCCATGAACTATATGGTCAGACAAGAATAGGTCAAAAGTTGGCGGTGGGTGTTGTTGACCAGCCGTCTCCCTTCTAATCCATCAGTTCAAAATTAAGGACAACTGTGTCCAGGTAGCTCTTGTGTAGCTTTGCGCGAAAATATTAAAACAATCAAATATTTTTAGAAACCTTCGAATCTCATTTCGATTTTTGTTGTTGTTATTATTTGATGTCATAGAGACTTAAAAAGAGCTGATCTTGTTTCTTGGTTTATTTTAAAACTGACCTAAAGAAATTTGAAAATAATATATGGTTTATTTCTCAGAACGTATAACATAAAAAATTACATATTTAAAGTGGTAATTCTTAAACAAACGTATATGGGATGTCACAAATTTTATTAGTATCCCCCCCCAAAAAAAAATAATTTTTCCCATCCAGTCAGTTAAGATTACGTTTTCCCTGTATTGAACAATCAGTAGGTTTCGTTTATATAAATACAATAGTACTGTCTGTTGTTTGTTGTATGTCCATGTAACTACTTCGCCCCCCATAAATGGATCTTCATCAAATTTGATATGGAGGTTCATTGGGTCCATGGGGAAGATACATACAAATTTTCAGTTTTGAATTTTGCGTTTTGTGATTTTATTATGGACGTTTTTTGCGTTTCTTACCACTAACTTCGCCACCTGCTGATGGATCTTCACCTAATTTGGCACGAAGATTTGCTGGGTTCATGCGGAGATACGTGCAAATTTGCGGTTTCACATTTTGTATTTTGCTGTTTTTATGGCCGTTTTTGCGTTTTCTACAATTACATATAAGGGAAGCAACTTTTAATGACCTAAGATAACCTTTCATTAATCATGAATTTACATAACTTCCATCCATGGGACGGGTACTCCAGCTAGTAGAAAATACGTACGTTTTTTTT